GCCGCACACATAGCACGCCCCTTTGCCGCCGCTGCCGCCGCCCTCGTCCGCCCCACCCTCCTTCCCTTCCAAGGCCGCCTCGCCCTCTGCGGCCTCCCGGCCCTCCGACCGCTCCGCAGATGGCGGCCGGACCCTCTGCTGCCACCGCGCGAACGCCTCGGCGACGCCGCCCTCCCCGTCCTCCCCGTCTGCCCGCAGCGCAAAGCCGCCGGCGACGCGGACGCCGGGGACAGAGAGCGTGCCGTCTGTGATCGCGTCGAGCACGCGCAGCTGGCTGAGAGCCTGGGGGCGGTATATGACGATGAGTTTGTCGTCGCCCAGGCGGAACGAGTTGCCTGGGGCGGGGTGATTATGGGTGGTTGGCGGTTTTTCAGGGTGATTTGCGGGAGTTTGGGAGGGGGGGAGTGTGACAAAGTTGGACTCAAGCAACGACAAGTGATATTTCAAATTTTGCGTTGTTCAAAGTGGTTGGTGTTTCTTTAGGATGCCTTTCTGTATGATTGGGTGGGAGGTGGGGGGAAATATCTCTTATTCTTGATACAGTGTGGGCGCGGCTGCCAGGTGGCATGACCGTGTGCACGCTTAGGCGCGGCTGCGGCATGAAGGGAAGCGTGTAACAGGGTTGACTAAATAGGCGGCAGCAGCAGCGCCACCGACAGGTTCGCCTGCTGCACTGGATTGGGTTTGGGATCAGGATATGATTGGGCCTGGGGTTGTTATAGCGTCCCGCATTCGCCCACTTCTGGGGCCATCCACGTGCACGGGATTGGCACTGTGGGCACACGACACAGGCCAAGCAAGCCGCTGCCCCGCTCACCGGCCGGGTTGAGCGCGCGCGCGCGGTCCTGGGTGGCCAGCGTCGGGCAGGTGCACCAGTAGCGAATGGCCCGGTTGAAGGCCTGGCCACTCGAGAAATGGATCACAGCCAGGGCCAGCTGGTGCGAGGGGTAGACCTGGAAGTGGGTTTGTTGGTGGGATCGACATGCCAGAGCACGATGAGCGGGCACGGGCGATCCATTGCAATAGCGTGCAGGGGGGTGGCGCCAGCGGAACCGGGGCGGCCCTTCTGCGGGCGGCAGCGGGGCGCCTCAACAATCATAATCCTACTCCTTGTACGCATTTCAGGGGTGCACCGCTAACGGATCGTCCCGGAAGCAGAGCAAGGCTGCCTGGGGTCTGTTTGGTCCATGCACAGCAGCCCGGGCGCCGGTTTGAGGCCGCCATGAATAGACCCTTCGCCAACGAGCCGCCCCTGGCGCGCCACCTGCCTTGATGTCTATGCGCCTGAAGTGCCGCCGCCCCGGGCCCCTCCACACCCCCATGTAGGTGACGACCATGTGGCTGCCCGAGGGCGCCCTGCGCAAAGGGAAGGAAGGCGCATAGCAAAGGGAGGGCGGCAGAGTCAAGTTGATAAACCACAGGAATGCTAGCCATCCAGCAACCTAGACAGAAACCGAGCTTGAACGAGGCAACACGCTTCGGTTCAGCAGGGACTGAATCCAAGCACACGTGACAATCTTCAATGGCGCCAAACCTCGCCCAGCGCAATCAACAGCGTCCCCTGGAACGCAACAGCGGGACGGCGCAGGCAGATGATCCTTAGGCGCTTCGTGCAGTGGGGGACGGAGCTTCAGCTGCATGCATGCGAGGGGGCCCGAGCCAACCCAGCCGCAGGTGCGCGCCTGCCGGTGTCGAAGCGCATGTCCTGAGTAATGACCCCCCTCGCGTGGAGTATGGTCAGCAGGGCCTCCATTACGGGTGGGAGCGGCAGGTTGCCGCACCTGGTGACGTGGCAGTTGATAGGATTTGCGGCGGTTGTTTTGGGTTGCTATGGGGTAGCGCAGTTTGGTACATTATCAGATGACACAAATCATGAGCAGGGCTCATGATAGCAGGGAGCCTTCTGGTAGCGAGCTATGGGCGTGTGCTGGCGTGCAGGGGTCAAAGTAAGGGTGCTCCAGGACCGCCGGCCAGCAGGCCTGGGTACATGGGCCAGGCGCCCGGCCCCTGCACGTCGCACGCGAATCGGCCGCTCACATGGGTGGCGGCGCGACGACGGCATCGATGTCGCCGGTATCGTGCTGACCGCGCTGCGGTTGACGGCCAAGGAGGGGGCGGGGGTTGGTGGTGGTCTCGATGGATCCTGGGCGGAGATTCCCGCTCACAATTTGGGTTCGATGGTGGCTTGGTGGTACAGAACCAGCCGCCGGTCCGTTTAAATGGCGCCCCCGCACACCAGGCGCGTCGAAAATAGAGGCCAAAAAACGGCGCGGCGGCAAGAGGTCCCCAGGCTGTGTCTGGCAGGCCTGCCCGCTGTGCGATGCCAGAAGGGTGACGCATGACTCACCAGGTAGCTCCCGGTGACGCGCACGTGCATCCTGGCGTCAAGCAGCTGCTGCCGCGTCATGCCCGGCGCACCAAACTCGGGCTTGGTCTGGAGCAGCCGCAGGACACACAGGCAGGTTGGGGCCGTGAGTGAGCGAGAGTGACAGGGTTCTTGTGGAAACTACCCACCACTAATTGCATAGAGGTTGTTTGTGGAGTTGCTTTGTGCAGAAGAACATGCTGCTATGCAAGTCGCCCATATTCGGGCCTGCACGCGCGCACACGGACAGCACCTCACGCACGGGGCGGAAGCTCGGCCCCGTCGGCGCGCGACGTCATGCTCATGCGTGCAATCACGCGCGCCATCGTGACAAGTGCGCACCCACGCACCTGGAAGACCTCCGCCATTGCGTCTGTCAGGATGCCCTCAGCCTCCGCCACCTCGTCACGCGGGATGCGCTTCTGCGGGGCAGTCAGTTTGAGCACGGACACGTTTGCGAAGCATGCATAGCACACCGGCTTGTTTGCGAGGCTGCAAGAGGGAGTAAAAGAGGGCCTCCATCCCTAGGGAAAATCCAGAAGCATGCTGGCTTGGGGACGGCAACGAGCGCCCTAGCTGCCGCCCGTCGACCGCTGCTCCTAGTCGGTGCAAGCACACACAAGCAATGTCGCTGGGGTCCGCCCCTCGCGACAACAGAAGCCCTGCGTGCTTGAATCGCACAGCGACGGCGGCCCACTTGCCCCGGCCCATATGCTTGCTGCTCGGCAACGTCCATCCCCTTGACATCTTAATTGTATCCGATGACACACCCACCTCGAAATCCTCAAAGTATTTGAGGCCCACCCTCTGCTGCTCATTGAGCCCCGGCAGTGCGGACACGTCCTTCAGGCTGCGGCAGCCCTGCAGCATGAGGGCCCGGCGTGAGGTTGTGAGGGCCAGCAAAGCAAGAAGGGGGTCGGAGCAGGGGCGGTCAACTCAAGAAATGCCGGACGTTTTGAATGTCGATATGGCGGTCAAGGTCGACGACAGAGGGTGCAGGGTGCGTGGGACGAAGGGAGGGGAGTGTGCGACGTGCTAACGTGCAACCATCTGGCACAGCTCAAACATGGCACAGCTGCAAGCGCGGCTAGCCCAGCGCCCCCGCATGGCACCACCTCCCGCCGCCCCCCCTCATCGCGCAAGCTGCAACAAATGTCGACCCTGGAGCCTTGAACCCTAAGCAGTCGGTTTGGCCCGCCCACCTGTTGGTACCAGCGCTCTGCGGTGTTCTCCCCGACGCCCCAAACCCTGAGGCGCGCGCCGGAGGGGGCGAGGAAGGGGCAATTGAACCAAACGCGTGACAGCAGCAACCGTACGCCAAGGTGTAACCGCAACCGCTTACCGCACCAGCCAGATGTCCGCGCCACTCAAACAATCGATCTTGATTACTAAGGAGCCGGTTGGCTCACGAGTTAAGCATCCCTCCCTGAGAGCCCCAAGGGACACGTATGTGCCTTCACACTCCCCCCCTGTGCACGCTCATACTGTCATACACACTGACACAACCCCGTAGCAAACAAATCTGGTCCCTCACTTCACGAACAGCCTGATGGCGCTGAACCTCTCGTTGCCCTGCATCGCCCTGTTGCGCTCCAGGCGGCCGGTGGACAGGATCTCCCTGACCTGCAGCCAGGTTTATGGTTTAGGGTTTAGGGCGGTGAACCACACGCACGAGACCTTGCCCTGACAGTGACAAAACGCTCGTTGAAACAAAGGCGGGGAGGCGGAGGTGCAAGTGGATGGAGCGAATGCGCAGGGCGCCTGACCCAGAATGCCACATCAGAGGTCGTTGCAGGGCAGTGGTTGTTGAACTGTGGCTGTTGAGGTTGGGGGTCCAACGTCTGCACTGGCCTGCAAGCCCCTTCAATCCTGTGTGGTGTCTCTTTTGTTACATACCTTATCGATCGTCCCCTTCCCTTGAATGAGATGTGGCAGGTCCTTTGGGGGACAGGGGGTTGGGTCAGGAAAGAGGCAGGGCCTGTTAGTAAGTAGGGTGGCGTCGGGGGGCAGGAAGTGGGGTGCCGAAACGCCGGCCAGGGCTGGGAGTTTTCGTCGGCAGCAGGCCCCTGCGCAAGAGCAGCCACGCCCATGCACGATCCCAGAAGCCCAGCCGCGCCCGCGCCCGCGCCGCCCGGGCGGTCGGCCGCGGCGGGCGCGCGCCGCCAAGCAGGCGCCCGTCACGGGCGGGGCGGCGCGGCGCTGCGGGGGCCCCAGTTGCCAAGAGGAGTACAGTATTGGAAGAGACGAGCGCTGGGCGCCCAGTGAACCCCAGGCGCACCTTTGTTAGCAGCGGCCTGTCCAGGGCCAGCAGGGTCCCTATGGCTTTTGTGAGGGGCTTCTGCCGGTACTGAGCCTGGTGCTGGCCCGCCAGAAGCTGGGGGGCGGGGAGGGGGTGGGG